AGTAAGTAGCCTCACTACTAGTAGTAGTAGTAGCCTCAGGAGCAGTAGTAGTAGTATTAATAGCAGTAGTAGCAGCAGTAGTAATAGCAGTATCAGTAGTAAAATTGTAATAAGGTTCAGAAGAATGCTATTATTAGAGCTGTTACAGCTGTTAAAACTGTAATTAAATCAAACATTCGTGTAGATAGATAGATAGATGGATAGCAGGCACAATATCTTTTTATAGGGACAATTAGTTATAGCAGGAAAATAGTTGCACAATTTTGACACTATTTCTAGTAAAAATATTATTATAATTACTACTTTAAATAGTATTGATAGTAATGGGAGTAGTAGTAGTAGTTGTTGCAGTAGTTGTAGTAGTAGTAGTAGTTGTTGTAGTAGTAGTAGTAGTAGTAGTAGTAATTTCTGTACTAATTGTATGTAGCTAAATATAAAATGTGAAATAATTTTTAGTTTCGTTTCTTACTAAATCGTAAATCATCGCAGGGCTTGAAAAAACAAAACCAGCACGCACGTACACACGCACGTACACACGCACACACGCACGCACACGTACACATGCACAACACACGCACACACCGTAGCCAGCTAGATATAATTCAAACCTTCAACTCTTACATAGTTAGATGAGCGAATGTTTGTTGTTTGTATGTTTGTTTCGCATTAATCTGTCTGGGTTATGTTTGTGTGCGTGTATGTGTATTTGTTTATCAACTACGCCTGTGTATGTCTGTGTGTGTGTGTGCCAGCGTTAATTTTATAACTACGTGTACGTATGTTTGTATGTGTGTATATGCGTGTCTGTACGCATGTGTGTGTGTGTGTCTGTATGCATGTGTGTTTTTCACATATAAGCGATCGTTCTTTCACTATAACTATAATGATGTAATATCACTTTTTATTCGATGATGATGAATTGAATGAATGGATGAGTAATTAAATGAATGAGTGAATGAAGGAGCGAATGAAAAAAATGAACAAATAGACAAACGAACGGACCAATAAATGGATTAATGACTTAATTAATAAATTTAATTAAAGAATTATTTAATGAATTGTTGATAAAATGAAGAGATAAGTAAATAAATATATATATAAATGAATGAATGAATGAATGAATGAACGAATGAGTGATTGATTGATTGATGGGTTGGTCTAAAGATTTATCGCTTTCTTGTCTAGAGAAATATAACATAATAGACAACACATTAATCAAATGTAATAATACTTTGATGGATGAATAGGCGGATGGATAGATGATTGGATAGATGAATAAATGGTTTGAAGAAATGAAATGAATGCATTAATGCATTTATGCATGGCTGGATGAGGTGGACGAAAAATTTTATGATCTCGCGAATGAAAGATTAGTGAATTTCATCATTCAATCATGTTATGTTCATTCATTTGAATGAATACAATATAGTTGAATGAAGACATTTTTTTCATTATGATTGTTGATGCTGTATTTTATTATTATGATTGTTGATGTTGTAGTTTTGAAGATAACTTCTCCGCGTTTTAAACTTTGTCGTTGATGTAAGCTTTTTTTTGAAGGTTTTAACGGCACTGCAGCTCCCAAGATGTGCCAGTAATTTTAATATTTTTTTCTTAATTTTTATTTTATTTTTTCGTTCATAATTATGTAGTTATTATTATTACATCTTCAAAATCAGTCACAGTCAAAAAGGAAGAATCCGATCAAAATATGTCAAGACATCAATCCAGAAAAATAAATGATAATCTTTGACTTAAGTATATTTTAAGAGGTAAGATTGTAATAGTTTATTCCAGTCTTTTTAAGTTAACGGGCAACAGATTCAATAACCACACCATGGACCAGAAGCACCAGAAGTTGACGTCAGCACAAAGAGAGAAACCTCACCTACCGTTCGCCAGTCCCACAAACCAATGACTCTCACTCCAGTGCATTCACTCTACTTCAATAACGTTTTGACTATTTAAGTTCCTGGTATGTCGCTTGATTTTTCACCATGCCACCCACAGACGGCATTCGACACAAAATTGAAATGATTATAAAGATTAAGGATAGAGTGGGCTGATTCTCTCTTAGCGGCACACGAGCTTCCACCATGGTATTTAGCCACTGTAGATTTTCAATGCACCTTAAGAGAAATGCAAAACTGCACAAATCCTCTCGAAGATATTAGTTTCCACTCTGGTATTCAGCCACAGCAGATTCTCAACACATCCCGAGCGAACCGTACAGATGTAAAAAAAACCCATAAATGGCGTTTGAGCCCCCACTGGGGTATTTGGCCATAGCCATATTTAGTGATGTGAGCTTTGAAAATTAAATTATTAATTTTATTATTGCTGTTTTTGTTGTTAATGGTGTTGCTTATATTTATGCTGTTATTGTTGTTTATACTGTCTTTCTTATGTACATGCTTTTTGTGTTGTTGTTGTTCATTAAATACTGTTGTGTTTAAATAGTTGATTTATCTGTCTTTGTTGTTGCTTATATTTATGTTATTAAAGATGTTTTTATTTAACGTTGTTGATGTTGTTAATGCTGTTGATGTTATTGTTTTTAATGTTGTTGCTGTTGTTGATGTTGTAGTTGTTGCTGTTGAATTAATTCTAGTAAACCCGATGCAAATTGCAGTGTTAAATTATTTAATGGTGTTCCGAGAAAATTGATTACATACAGTTGTATGATGTAGTTGTTGTGTTTAGAGTTGTAGCTTTGCTCTTTACATGAGGCTATGTGTGTGTGTGTGTGTGTGTGTGTGTGTGTGTGTGTGTGTGCGTGTGTGCGCGTATGTGTATTAAACCTTATGTAGGATTGTGTGAAGCAATTGCTATGTTTAATTTATTGCAATCATTGAATGCTAATGTTATAACCGTTTTAACATTTTGTTACTGTCTATTGACGAACTCTAATGTTAATAATATTACTCTAACATTTACTTATTGTTGATTTATCCCTTACTGCATCAACTAGTAAGTAATAGTAGTACTTGTGGTGGTAATAATAGTGGTAGTTGTGGTAGGTAGTGGTAATGGTAGTTGTGCTAGGTGATGGAAATGGGAGTTGTATTAAAATGTAATAGTAGTAAAAAGTAGTAATATTAGTTTTGGTAGTAGCATTAAATAGTAGTTATAATTGTGTTAATAAGAGTGGTATCATTGTATTACCAGCCATTTGTAGCAATAATAACATAAGTAGAGGCAATGGCAGCGGCGACACCAGCAGCAGTAGTGGTAGCAACGGCAGTAGTAGTAGTAGTTACGATAACTAGCAGCTGTAGTAAGTAATAGTTGAGGTTATAGTAAAAATAGTAATTTTACCATTAATTGTAGTATCTGGCAGTAATAATGGTTCCCAGAAAATGGAATAGTTTTGCATTCTCAAAGCGATTCTAGGAAAAGTTGATGGGGATATTTATTTATCTATTGGTATTGGCATAGGAATGTGCGGGACACACATACACGCACAGAGAATAAAACACACACGCACACACATACACATACTTTAATATATGCGTAAATTGTATACACATACACGGACTCAGAAAGTAAACTCAAACTAATTGCACATGTAGGTAGTAGTATTATTTAAGTAGAAACAAATTACACAAACACACACACACACACATCCATACTTACATACTTACACACGCATGAACGCACATTCACACATTCAGTTTAGCTCGGCTTGGTAATGTAGTATTATTGATAATATAATTGGAATGAAAATAGTATTGTTAGCGATAATGGCCATAATGACACTCCTACAAATTGTAGCCCATCGTGGTCTGATTCTAGCTAATCGATTAGCTCTCGTGTTATTATTATATTATTAAATCGGATGTAACTCGAACGCTAAACACACACACACACACCCCACCACACACACACAAGCATGTCTATATACACTTACATACATTCATGTACACGTACACAATAAATAAATAGACGAAGAAATAAATGCATGTATGTGTCTGACGATGCGTGTGTGTGTGTGTGTGTGTGTGTCTGTGTGTCTGTGTTTATGTGTGTGTCCACGTTTATGTGTATGTGTGTGTCATATTTGATCAGAAATTTATTATCCAAGTGAAAGTCATTTGATGTAAAAATTTCTATTCATCAAATTTTTTATCCATTCATTCATTCGTTCGTTCGTTCGTTTGTTCGTTCGTTCGTTCAATCATATTTTCACAATGGAATTAATTGTTAACATTAATACACTTTTCATTAAGTTCATTCACCGGGCGATAATTCAATTGTCCGTTTCTCCATCCATTTAAAAATCATTTATTCATTATTGATTCACCGTTCATTCACTAATTTATTAATTTATTCATTATTTGTTCATTTTTAATTCATTCATTCCATTTATTCATTCGTTTATTCGTTCATTTGTTAGCATGACACATCCATTCATTCATTCATACAAACATAGGTACGTCACAAATCGTTAAATAGTTCATTCATTCATAATTTGCCGTGTGTTATTCATTCATTCAGACGTTCTCTTTTAGTTATTCATCATCATCATCATTTATTCTTTCGTGGTTTCTTTCGTTCGTTCGTTCGTTTATTCGTTCATTGATTCATTGGTTTATTCATTCATTCATTCATCTAGTCGTTCGTTTGTTTGTTTATTCGTTGATTCATTCACTTTTTTTTAATTCATTCATAAATGCCTGTTCGTTTGATTGTTCATCCATTCATTCATTTGGTTTTGTTCAATCTATTCATTCAGTCATTCATTCACCATTCATTCGCAAAAATGTAGTTTGGTCTTATCTCATCCCAGCTGAAATGAAAGGCTAAATAGTCAAGAAATAATCATTATAACAACAACAAAAACAATAACAACCACAACAACAAAAACAACACAATAATAACAATGAATAATTAATAATAATTATGCATAATTAATAACAGCAATCGATCTATCCTTATAAAGTCAAAAAGAAAGGACCATGAATAACTAACCACATCAATGAATGTGTGCATGTAATAAAATGGTGGCTCGTTCTTACGTTGTTAATGAACTTTTGTATTTTCTTATAAATAATTCAAATATGTTAGAAAATGATTGTTTGAAAATGATTTTGAATGCAAACGACATGCTAGAAAAATGCCCTATTTTTGTTAGTATGAATATGGCAAAAATTCCTAAATTAGACAACTTTTTGAAAATAAATTTTGAAAAAATTAGAAAAGATATTAGCGACGCGTTAAATAAACAACAAATGCAAATAATAGAATCCGTTGCAGCCATTGTTGTCACAACCTGAAGAAAATTTTGCGGCAAAAAATAAAGTAAATACCAAAGCGCCGAACAATATCAACAATGAAAATGTAACTCAAAAAGCGAAATCCCATAACGTCAATGATAAAGTTGTAAAAACTGAAAATTGGGCTGATGATCTCGATACCCCAACCGATAAAAGTATGCAACCATTTACTTTAGTGGAAAAACGTAAACGACTAAATAAGTTTCCAGGAATATTATATGAAACTCAAGATTCCGATAGTGTTCAACCCCTAAAATACTCAGAAGTTGCCAAAAAAACAAAATCAAAAATAATTGGAAATAAAGTAAATAATGAATGCAAATTAAAAGCAGAGAAAATCATTGTTAAAAAAAGTTTTTTCATGATGAGTAATGTTAAGAAATGCCATCGAAACGATGTAGCCGAATATTTAACAGAAAATGGAATTAGAGTGATATCTTGTTTTCCAATTTTTAACAAAACAGAAGCTGAAAACAAAGGCAAAGAAAATAAAATTGATGAATCATCAACAATGTTCAGAGTTTGTGTCGAAAAATCTGATGTTGTCAAAATGAAAGATCCGGACGTAATACCACAACATATAATCGTCCGTGAATGGCAATTCAACCCAAAAATCAGTGAAAAAGTTGTTTCTAACAACGATGTTTGATTCAATTTTGTCAATAAATGTTAATCCAAGTAAGCATTGCAAAATTTTTATTAATGATGAAAACTCTCAGCAAAATAATGCCAACATATGTAAGACTTATGATGTAAATGAATTTAACTCTGAAATGAAAATAATTAAAAATCAATTTAATCAAAATTTATTCAATATTATACATATAAACGTAAGAAGTTTGTTGAACAAATCTGATGACATTTATGATTTCTTGCGAGAATTGAATTTTGAGATTGATGTTCTCGCAATTTCTGAAAGTTGGCTCAATGACAGCAACGAAAATTTGATTAACATTAACGGATATGTCTTTAAAGGTAAGCACCGAAGAATAAAACACGGTGGAGGAGTCGGCTTTTACATAAAAAACAATTTAGATTACAAAATCCGAGACGACATAACAAGTATAAAAAATGAATTCGAATTTCTCGTTCTAGAAATAATAAACAGACCTATCACAAAAAATGTTTTAATCATTGTGACATACCGACCACCAACTTATGATGTCAATTCGTTCATCGAATGTTTAGATGATATTTTGCTGGTTGCAAATCATGAAAACAAATTAATAATAGTTGCAGGTGATTTCAACATTGACCTGTCAGAAAGTAACAACAACAACAATAAGTTCAATTTTTTGCAACTTATGAACAGCTACAGTTTACAACAAACAATAACACTTCCGACAAGAGTAGAATGTAATCGACAATCTATTATTGACAACATCTTCACAAACATTCCTGAAAGCATCTTGGTTTCCGGCGTTATTTCTCACTGTCTTTCCGACCACCAGCCAGTTTTTTCATCAATCAATCTTTCAAAAAAAATGTTTATGTTTCCTGAAAAAAGAAATGCTCCATCAGTAAAATTTTTTTATTCAACAAACAGAATCAACAATATAAATCAACGTCTCAGTCAGGTGAACTGGCAAGTCGTATATGAGAGTGCAAATATTGAAGAGGCATTCCAAACTTTTATAACTATTTTCCAGGAATGTTTTCGTGAATGCTGTCAAGTTACCAATCGAAATACTATTATAAAAACAATAAAAAACAAACCTTGGGTCTCTTCTGAGTTAAAAAATCTCATCACAAAAAGAAATAAAAGTTACAAAAAGTTTCTTTTGATTCCTAATAATAATAATTTAAATAAATTCAAAAGCCTTAAAATAACTTGTAATAAACTAAATAAATCTTTAAAAAAAATTATTATCATCATCTTTTTGAAAAATATAGAGGAGATAGCAAAAAAAACGTGGACTGCTCTGAACGAGTTAAAAAACGGAAAAGACGTAAAACCCGATCGTATACAAAAATTAACAAATGAAGAAATTGAAATACCTGACCCAGCAAATGCTTTAAATAACTATTTTGTTGAATTAGCACCGAATTTACTGAAGCTCATTCCACGGAATTCTCACTGGAAGAATTACTTCAAGACATTTGTTTCCAACTCGTTTTTTTGTAGATACGCAACGGCTGATGAGATCATTGCAACAACAAAATCTTTGAAACAAAAAACATCAAGTGGCTACGATGACATACCAACAAAAATTGTCGTCTCTACGATTCATTCTACTGTGTTTGTTCTAGAATATTTGATAAATCTATCTTTTGAAAAGGACAAATTTCCAAGCTGTCTCAAAATCGCCAAGGTAATTCCTATTGAAAAAATTAAAGGAAAAACAGATTTATCAAATTTTCGCCCTATATCACTCTTGCCAGCATTTTCAAAAATACTTGAAAAACTAATGCACCGACGAATGACCAGTTTTTTGCAAAAAAATAATATTTTGTCAAATTCCCAATTTGGTTTCAGAGAGAAATTTTCTACAGAATTAGCAATCGTAGAACTAGTTCGCAAGATTGGCATCAATACTGAATGTAAAAGATTTGTCATTGGAACGTGCTTAGATCTGTCGAAAGCATTTGATTGCATCAACCACGACATCATGCTCAACAAGTTGGAAAAGTACGGTTTTAGAAATACATCACTGCATTGGTTTCGTAGCTACTTAACAGAAAGAAAACAATTTGTCTATGTGAACGATGGAATTTCCAGTCTGCTCGGAAACAACAACGGTGTGCCTCAAGGAAGCATCCTAGGTCCTTTGTTATTTATATTGTACATAAACGATCTTCCAGCTGCATCAGCGTTTTTTGACTACGTAATTTATGCTGATGACACGAATGTTTTTAGCAGCGGCAGATCAATGAAAGAACTTACTGAGGAAACAAACAGAGAGTTAAAAAACATAATCTCTTGGTTCGAAGCCAATAAACTTTTAATAAACAGTTCAAAAAGCCAAATGATGGTTTTTGGACCCGTACAATATCTAAATTACAAGGAGCCGTATAAAATCATCCTAGGTAACAACACAATTGTTGAAACAAAATGTTTAAAACTTCTAGGCATGCTGCTCGATCAGAAACTCTCCTTCAAACATCACATAAAACAAGTATCATCCAAACTTTCAAAGTCAATAGGAATGATAAACAGAGTAAAATCATTTTTGCCAAAAAACTGTTTGAATCTTCTGTATAATTCCCTGTGCATTCCGTTAATAAACTACTGCAACATTGTATGGGCTTCATCGTACCACACATCAACCTTACCAATAGAAATATTAATCAAAAGAGCAGTTAGATTGATAACGAGATCCAAACGATTTGAACACAGTCAACCATTGTTCAACAGCACGCGAAACTTGAATTTCTCGAAACTCAGCATTTACTTTCTGATGATTTTTGTTTATAAACAGTTAACCAATCGATTACCTGATTTATTTAACAGTTATTTCAGGATGAAACAACAATGTCGGCAACAAAATAATCTTGTCTCTAACAAATCGAAAACGAATATTTTGTTCTCTCACGTGTATTGCAAGGGACCGAGAATCTGGAACGAAATTTTAAACAGTGGATTTAATTTTGAATTTATTTCGTTAAACAATTTAAAAAAAAGTTAAAAGAATATTTACTTAAGTTTGAAACATAAATTTTTTGTTTTTGAAATTACGTTTAAATTCTGTTGAAAACTTATAACATTTTAAAAATTATGTCAAGGTGGTCACACTCGATGAGTTTCTGAAAAGAACTCTACTGTGGTCATCCTGTCTTCTTCTTATTGATATAAAGGGGAGAGAATTTTTTTTTTCTCTTTTTTTAGATTAATTTTGAGAAGCAAATAAAAATTCGTTTCGTTTCGTTTCGTTCATCTCCCACCTACACGCTAGTCACCTGAAAGTGTTGGGTCCTTTACGGTTGGGGAAATTATTATTCATCATCATCATCATCATCATCATCATTATTATTATTATTATTATTATTATTATTATTACTACTACTAATTGAATGCATCATTTAGAACTAATCCTTTCTTGTTTTACGCATTCTTCTTTAGAATGTCGAGCTTCGTAGAATATTTTAATTCTTAATTTTAAAACAATTTTACTTTTATTAAATTTTAATTCATTAACAATTCTTTTTAACGTGTGATTTGTGATGAAAATTAAATGATGTTCCTATTATTATTATTATTATTATTATTATTATTATTATTATTATTATTATTATTATTATTATTATTATGCCATTTATTGCGATAGGAACACATCATAACCTATTTGAATATACATATTACCGTTTTGCACTTGTCCTAGACAATGAGCATTGTGGTTATTTTTTATTGAACATTATTAATTTTTTTTTGTAATTACTTCTTTCTTTCATTCTCAACGACTTTGGTTGAAATAAAAGAGTTTCCATTGTTGCAGAGTTATGTAACAATGTTGATGTTAATGTTGATGTTGGGTGTGTCATGCATGTTTATTTACAAAGATAACCTTCAGATAAGTAAATGACATTTGGGAGGGCTAACTGGTTTACATGTTTGAAAATTAACTTTTGTTATTTGCTATTAATACTGTTGTTGTTGTTGTTATTAATTTTATTTTTGTTAATGTCATTACTAATAATGTGTCAATGTTATTGTTGTTGTTAACAACAACAACAAAAACAACAACAACAACAAAATGTTGTTATTGTTGTGATGCTGGTTCTGCAAAGATTGTTGTTGATACTGTATTTGATGTTATAATTGTTATCGCAGTGTCATTGAACTCTGATGATAACAATTCTACTCTTATTATTGTTATGATTATATTATGATTATTATTATTATCACAATTATTATCATCATTATTATTATTATTTATGTTATTAGCAGTTACAAAGCAAATGATTATAACAGAAAACAACGCAATTACACGCCATCATCTACCATCTTCTAAGAAGAACCAGCCATCTACATAATTTTTTGCACTTAAAAATTTGCCACGGACTCTTACGCACGCACGCACGCACACACACATACACGCACGCACACATGCACACAAACACACATTAATCCGAATTAAAAATAATAACAGTCTGAATGTATTAAACATTTTAAATGAGCGTCAACATCACATGCTTTCTGATGAATATCCAAAACTTCCTTACCCGCATATTTGGCTTTTATTAATAAATGTTAAAAAAACTTTTTAATACTTTTATATACTTTAGGATGACTACTATTACTATTAATACTAGTGCTGCTAAAGCTACAGCAGCTACTGTTATTACTACTTACAATTACTGCGACTTATACTAAATTATTATTAATATTTGTGCCACATATGGTACTATTATTACCATCACAACAACAACAACAGCTACTCCTTTCACTACAGCAGTACCAATACTGCTAGAGCTACTTACTATGCCACTACTTCTGCTATATAACTGTCACTACTTGTATTACCAAAACTTCTAACTTAAATGTAAACATTGAAATTAATAATACAGTGATTTTTATAAATAAATTGTATTTATGGTAGTCTCTAAACCCTGAAATAGATATGTAAATGAAATGTTCGTACGGTAAGTGCGTAAATGTATGTGCGTAAAAAAGCAGATTAAGCGGTATAAATGCTTGTCTACCTTTCTTGA